TGAAAGATGATTGACGGGTTGAATCGCAAATCATTCCTAGCTTGTAACCCGCAGGTCGCGTTTAACAACTCGGGTACCTCGCCTGGGGGGATTCGAACCCAAGACCACAGGGAGCTTATAACTGACGAAGCAGATGACTACAAACTGATTTGGGAACATGGCAGAAAATTAAAAAAAAATTAATGTGATAATATGCATTTGTTGATGTGTATAAGTAGACGTACCCAATTATCCATATAAAAGTCAAAATAGAATGTAACAATATATTATCACTAAAGGAAAAATAGCTAAAACCAATGAAAAAAAAACTGACGGCCCATATTGTTTCTGAAATTTTGGAACTGATTTCTAACGGCTTCGTGTCAGTACATTAATATTACCCCTACTGACGACTTTCCTATGGAATAAGGCGTAGCTTATTTGTGAAAAATATTTCCAGTTGTTATCAGGGCTATACCGACGATGCAATGCGTCGGTTCATGTCGAATTATAAAATGACGGACTAATTCATCAGAAATTCAGCACGTCTTGGTTACAAACTGGCGGCTATTGGATATTTACTGGCGGTTAAAGTGTTATTTATTAAGTCTTAATAACTAACGTGCTTAAGGTCATTGACAAGCTGTATGAAAAGGATTACTATCAGTGAATCGGCGTCAACATTTCTCATCTCTATCTCCAGTGAGCACTCAAGCTCTATCACACCACACTGTTCATTGATTTCTTATAGTAAAATTGAAATTAATCTTGATTAGATGATTCCTCTAAGTTCTTATCTATTTTGATTTGTTTGTATTACATACATCATATTTCATGCAGAGTTGTAAGAGTTTGGTATCCGGAGAGAAGCCATTGAAGGTGAAAAGCAAGCAAAAATATATGGCTTAAGAATGAAGATGACGAGGTTGACGATGAGACTGATGATGATGATTAGTATTCTCTATATTTGTTTATTCTACTATGTTATACATGATTTCTTTGTTGGTTTTACCTTGATCAATGTGATTAGATTGTAATAAATTATAAGTTTTCAGTATGCAATATAAATCATGATTATTTATGTATCATTGTTACATGTGTAAACATATCAATATGTAAAATGATAATTTAATTTTTAATTATTTACTGGTTTTTCAATGGACTTTTTTATAGAATTTTTGTCGATTTTTTTATACAATAACAAGGTGATGGTTTTATTCCATTGGAATTTTTTAGAGAATTTTTTTATAGAATTTTCATTGAGGTTTCATTATTTGGTGACAATTCCTTCATGAAAAATTATGAAGATTTCTTACGAGTATTTTGTTGGAAATCCATCAAAAATAATTTTATGTTGTATAAAGGTATGTCAAAATGCAGTTTGAACTAAGGATTTTTTGAGGAATCACATCCCAAAACACACACTTTCTTGTAGTGAGTTGTCGACCCAGTTATGATTCTTGTGGCCACAGATTATACTTTATGTAGCCAACTACGATTGTTATGTCCATCAATTATGATTTTTATAGTTAATTACTATTATTATAACCACCAATTATATTCTCGAGCAGAAGCAAATATATAATTTTGCTTCATTGATCCTCTATCTCCTATAAATAGGCGCCCATGACATGTATTATGGGTTTTTTACCATCTAGGTTTTGGCCTCTGTAGGCTATTCACACTAGACCTACTCTTGTAGGGAGATATCTCTCTTTTTCTCTTGTAGCCCCAATTACAACTATATAAGCAGCAGTCGAACCAGACCTAGAACGATAGCAAATCTGAAGCAACTCAAGTAATTCACAAGAGTAAAAATTCAAATAAAATATTGATGTTTATTTAGCCTCTAATTTTCCTTAACAATTTTTTTTGTAGGAACATTTCAAAGACCGGGGGGGAGTCAAACCCAACAATTAGGCGGTATTACAATCCTAGGCATGATCCATCCGAGTATGAGTTTTGGATGAAGGCTTTCAGAGGAAAAAAAAGTTAAGATGTCGACTTCTGCCACACAAACCCACACACTTAGAGAGAGAGAGGGAGAGAGGAGAGGGAGAGAGGAATAAAAATAAGGCCTTAACCACATATTATTTTTCGTAGCTGAGAGCGTTGGCAATAACCTTTGCTTAGTTATTGTTTGTTAGAGCTAGCAATCAGATAGACATTCAATGTTTGTGAAGGGCTCGCGTAATGGTTGATCATCATTTGGTTGAATTAGATAAGGGGTTTCTTACATAAGGAGGACCCCAAACCTTTTTTTATTACATGTTGCGTTCCCAAAACAAGTTATGTACTGACGAGAGACTTTATAACGCCTTTACCTTCCCTTTCTAAAACAAAATCATCGCTTCCGTCTCTCAAATCTGCGACCTCTCGACCTCCCCTACCGCAGAGTTAAATCGAGTATGACTATCGCACTCTCGATGTGCGTCCGACCTCTTTGCCGCAGAGCTCACTTTTCACGAGACCCTCCTTCACTCCTCCATTGGTGTCATTAATCCTCTTGAGGTCGACTACTACTTCATCCCAGTCCATGCCGCAGAGCTCAATTTTTAAAGCTCGAATTATAAATGAGCCGAACACGAACAGTTCTTTGTTCGCTCGTTTTCCGCTCGTTCTAACTCGAAATAATAAAAAAAAATTTATATGACTATTTATATAACAATATATTACATGTATTATTTATATAATAATATATTATATATATTTATGTCTAAGTTTAAATCATAACAACTCATGTGACAATGTGATTAGTGCTTTCTTTTGTATATATTTGGTCCAGGTTCGAATCTCACACTTTACATCTATTTATCTCAATTTAATTTTAACGAGTCAATTTCGAGCCGAACACTAACACAATATTTAAATCGAGCCGAACACGAACACACTGTTCACGAGCCGATTTCGAACACGAGTTATTTTGAACGAGCCGAACACGAGCCCAAGCACGTTTACAGCCCTATTTGGGGCTCACATGAGCCCTGTGAAATCCCAATCAAATCCTCAACCACGAGAATGCATGGAAACCGCCTGCAAAGAGTGGGAAAAAAAATTTGTCTGGATTTGCATAAATTTTTGGTTTTCGGTGTAATTTTTTGTTTGGTTTTTAATTAAATGATATAATAATTTAATTTAAGTTTAAAATATTAAATTAAGATCACCATTTCATTTATACGTGAGAGAATTTTATAATGTATACATGAATATGTGTATATGAAAATTTTGATTGATTTTATCTCGCACAATCAAGCCCATCTGTCGAATTGGTTGAATCAAGCTTATCTGCCGAAGTGGTTGAACCAAACCCACCTACATGAGTGACAAAATCAAGTGCACCTGCCGAAGTGGCTGAATCGAGAGCATATTTCGAAGTGGCTGAATCGAGCCTATCAACCGAAGTGGTTGGATCCAACACATCTGACGAAGAAGCTGATCCAGCTTACCATCATCTTCTTCGAGGGGATGACTTAATCTTATCCATGTGAAGGTAACAATTCGAGAAAATGATCACAGGTGACCAGAACATCTGTTAATCTCTCAATTAAAGACGTCGACCGACACCGAGATTCAACCACTTCGCCTTGATATTAGGGATAGTTGTCGTACCTACAATGTCTAACATTAGCCAACAATGTTTCATTTTCATAATATTGATCACAGAGTAGCCGACAATATAGTCATTGATGTACTACTAAGAGGTTTCTGAAGGTCTCTCTCTCCTTACAACACTCTTCCTACAATATCGGGCCTTTCACAAAATTGCATCAATTTCTCACAGACAATAAGGGACCCACATCCTAAAAGGATTCAACATATAATTAATATTTAAATTTTATATATTTATCAAATTAATTTTTATATCATTTTTTTTTCATGAATTATAGAATACATTTATTTGTATGTGCTATTATAATAAAATTTGGGGTAATGATTAAATATAAAATGATATGATGTGCGATAATTTTCTGAATATCATAATTCAAAAAAAAAATAAATAAATAAAAAATTACGACATGGATTTCAAGTGGTCCAAAACTTGATTAATCTACTTCGAGATTAATACTATATAAATTAACTATATATTTATTTAAGAATCTAAAAATTAAAGATCTATTTTTGAATTAAACTATTTGATGCTATGAATATAATTGGCCTTGAGGCCCTTGATAATTTATAAGGGAGAAATTATAATATGTGATATTACACCTTTTTGCCCCCCTTTTTTTTAATGAGGTTGTTACATGGTATTTTACATACATGAGCTTATTACTTGACTGCCCCTAACAGGGTCGGTTTGGCTAAAATGACTCCGGTTCGGTTGGCCTGACAGAGTCAACTCAGTCGATCAGTCAGATTTGATTAGCTTTGGGTCGACATGACCAGCTCATCAAATTAGAATTTTGACGATCGATCGATTCAGTTTGATTTGTCGAATCTCGATCATTTGATGAGGAGCTCTTGTTGATTGAATCAGACAAGACTATTAAGCCGATGACAAATCAGCGTAGCTTGATAGATAATTGTAAGGCTCGATTGTATGACCAATTCTTTGTACCTAATGAAGAATATTTGGGAGCATTCGTGGGAGATAAATGATTTCGAGGAACATAACTCTTTCTTCAGATTGTATCTACTGATAGATGGCTTGATGATTTCATTCGGCTTTCTCATAATGGTTGGCTCATCTGCCTATCTCATCTGACGAGTTCGAGTTTGAATCATTCGATCGTCTTTGTGATTTGGTCAGTTTTGATCTTGCTTTCTTGACTCGAACAAATATATCCAATTAAATAAGCGGTCCTCATTTATCGTTCTTTTTTCTTTTGAGATCATGCTCAGTATGAGCACCTACACATTTTTCATGTACAAATATATGAAACTTATAACCGTTGAATTTATTTCAAAATTACCACAATGTAGTTAATTATATTTTATTCTCATCTTTAATTAAATAAAATTTGTCAAAATTTAATTTTATTTCATTTAATAATAGGACGCTGCCATCAAGAAATCTGCCTCGGCCGGGACTATATAGACGAAGTTAGCGTTTCGTCCTCCCATCATATTCCGATTCCCTCCCCCCCACGTTCACTGCAAGGTCCTGCCTCCTGCTGCAGAGTGAGCGGGCGGTCTATCGCTAGCAGCTTGGGCATGGAGGGCTATACCTATTCTATCTATCCAGAATCCGGCGATTCATCACCTCAGTGCCGCGAAATCGATGGCGAGACCGCCATCTCATGGGATGAGACACCGCAGCCTGCCGCCGTACGCGTCAAGCTCATGTGCAGCTATGGTGGTCGGATCCAGCCCCGACCCCACGACAATCAGCTCTCCTACTTCGGTGGGGAGACTAAGATTCTTGCCGTCGATCGTTCCATCCGATTCCAAGCCATCTTCGCGAAACTCGCAACGCTGTACGGCGCCAACTCTCCCGATGAGATCTGCTTCAAGTATCAGCTCCCCGGTGAGGATCTTGACGCACTGATCTCCGTTACTAATGATGAGGATCTCGATCACATGATGATTGAGTACGATCGCCTCCACTCATCTTCCGGGAAGCCGGCCGCCCGCTTACGTTTATTTCTCTTCCCTGCAAATCCATCCATCAATTCTGGGAAGGTCCAGCAGAAGGTCGATCAGATGTGGTTACTTGAGCCGCTGCTTCCGCCGCAGTTGGCGCCGTCTATGGATCGTAATCCCTTGGAACCTCCTCTGCTTCCGCCCCCTGCGCTGGTTCCGGATTTTTTATCCGACATTGTTCCGTCTCCTGTGGCCATGAAGGTTAAGGAAACAACGGCGGAGAACCGCGTGGTAGAGCCCTTGGCCAATGATATCCTTTCGGTCAGATCTGACCTGGCGAAGGAGGAAACGCCGCAGAATGCAGGGGAAACGGTGGTTTCCCCTTCAGCTGAGGCACAGAGGCAGATTCAAGGTATCCAAAGGCTTCAGATCGCAGAGAATCAGCTCCATCCCATGACAAACATGCAGCGGAACGGCAGTGATGAAAACATTGCCAGGGTTTACCATGGAGAATTCTACGCACCCAGAGTTCACGAGAAGGCTGTTCCGGCGCCACCGCCGACAGCCACACTAGCTCCTACTTCGGCCGCTACAACGCAGATTCCGACGGCTTTCTGGGCTGATCAACGTGGCATCGCAGCGGGGAGGTTCGCCTCGATGGCTGGTGGAGACCAAACGGTATATCTTTTCCCCGCTTCTCACAGCATGTATCCACCGACTACTGGACAGGCGTATTACACGGCGGCGCATCCGCAGCCACCACCTTTCTCAAGGGTTGTGCCGGCGGATGTCTACCGCGACTTGCCGACGATGTATGCTGTAGCGCCGCCGGCTGGAATCGATGCCGCGCCGGCGAACTCGCCGGCGGCTGGTTATGCGACGTCGCAGTTTGCATATGATAGCATGGGGAGGGCGGTTTTCTACCCAGGCCCGGTCGCCACGTATCAGGCAGTAACTAACGTGGCGCTCAACACTGACCCTAAGCTAACGAAGCCTTCTCAGATTTCGTGACCGCTAAGTTTCTTCACCTCTCAAGTTTACGGTTTTTGTCCTCAATCCGTTCGCCTCGTCTTCCTTGTCTTGTCTTCTTTGTGGTTTTTTGTTTTGGTTCAGCCTGCTAAATGTTTGTCTGCATTCAAGCTGCATTAATCTCTAGAAAATTTCTTTCTCACCTTTATTTCGTCTTGGACTTTGCTGTACATATGGTTATAATGTTTTGGGTGTATGAAATTGGTCATGACGTGTCACTATTAATAGTTTATTTTCTTTGATTTGTTATGGCCATTCTTTTGCTTGTAGCCTGCAAACATGCTATTTAAAGAGCCCTAAAAGCTAGAGCTTGATTAGAAGCTATAAGATATTTCAAGCAAATTGATAATGGAGGCAAATAATAGCTGGGTCAGATTCACAAACGAGCATATATTTTGTAGATGTGATGCATTATTGATTTTGTACAAGATAGATAAAAAATAAATTTACATTCAAATTGTGCATGATCCTAATTTAAGAATTGTCAACCAAATTAGAAAAGATTATTTTATTGAATTCACTAGAAACTTAATGAATTCAATGCCCCTTTAAATTGGCCAGATCTATCCAATCAAACTCACTCGACGTTCGGGTTGACTATGGCGAGTCACTTAAAATCATCATGGTTTGTTAAGCCTTATTATAAAATCATACATGGATTGTCTAGCCAGAGCATTTTTCTGTAGTGTTGTGCATCAACTTAAGCTTATAAATATAGGGTCAAAGGGTGAGCTTGACACGTTGAATCATTTACTCATATTTTGTACTTTCATATTATCTAGTGGAATTAAAGTTCTCATTTAAAAAACTTTTTTCTCTCATTTTTTATTTTCCAATAATCTTGTCCATGAGTAATTTGGAAACATTTCTTACCATCCAATGAATCAGTAAATGTTAAAGATTAAAAGCTAAGCTTTGGAGTTTGAGTTGAGACCTCAAAAATAATTGAAGAAGTCCTCATTTTTAAAAAATATGTGTATTTTAAAAATGTGTCCGTGCTGATCTTGAGGAGATCTAATGGTCCAGAAGGAAGGAATTATGGTGAGAAGGGCCCACTGATAGAAGACTTGAGGACCCACTTATTCGATTGGATGCAGACATCAGAAACAGATCGAGCAAGGCTAATGTCGGCCAAGTCACAAAAGCAATCGAATTCGAGCTGTGCGGTTAAAAAACGAGATAAAGGGATACTCAAGTCAACCACTTCAAGAAAGCTGATTGAAGACATCAAACTTCTTTCAATAGATCCGATGAGAAGAAAGATCCAATTCCTCAATATCACCAACTATCTCTCAGACACTCCCGAGGTTTCTTATATGGGATCAAGAATTAACAATGCAATAAAGAGTTTATAGACATTCCTCAAGTTCTCCGCATTGGGGAGCGAGAAATTTTTTGGGGAGCGATGATTCACCCTTTACTCGATAATCTATCACCGCTCTGTCGACAAGAGCTCCTGTCTAAGTATCGAAGGTTAATAGCCAGACCAGATCAACTGATGAGAAAGCCAATCCAACTCAATAAGCTTTGCCAACTCAATCAAGTTCAGCTGACCTACAACGACAGCTCAACCTAGCCTACTGGACCGGTCCTATTGAGTCGGAGCCAAATAGACTCATCTGATCGAGCTAAAGAGCTGCCGAATGATAGACTCTTACCTATAAAATATCTAGAATACCCTGTATAATTTCCATTAAGGTAGAGACAAAAATGTAACATCACTATATTGTACTCTCACATATAAATAGTAAGATCATTTTATGAATCAGATATGATGTAATATTGTTCATTACTATTCACTATTTTTTCTAAGATCATTCTATGAATAAGATATGATGTAATATTGTTCATTACTATTCACTATTTTTTCTATCTCATTCTTCTTTTGTTATGCTTTATTCCTTGTGTTGTTGTTTACGGACAAATTGTGATTCAACATCTTAAAATGTATGATGAGCATGAATAATGTGACAGACAAGAAGATAAGCAACACATGGAGAAGAAACTCATAATAGAGATATCGATAATATGAATTGCATAAGAGAGTTCGTATATCAACTGATCTAGGAGTTGAAGGATTAAGTGCAAGATGACATCCAAGCGACACTGGCTTTGGGAAGAGATCACCATCCCTAAGAGGAAGGACTATCACTCAATGACCGAAGAGCCCCCTAAGTCGTGGAAAAAGTAAGGAAACTCCCAGTAGTTCGATAGTGCTAGGTCGGCACCGATCAACAAACATCGGTTCGGGCATATCGAGGCGCCCCAACAATTTGAGAATGCATTATGGCGGCTAATCTCTATGGTTGGGCTATTGTAGAGGTTCAAGATTCCGACATTAGAGTCTTATAAGGGCATGATCGATCCAATCGACCACATAACCTCATTCAAGTCGACCGTGTGTTTGCTGAGGATCACCGACGAGCTTAAATGTTCTCTTTTTTTACCACGCTGAAGGAGTCAATCCTCAGATTGTTCAATGCTTTGTCGTCAAGAGTGATCGCATTATTCACTGACTTTCAGCAAATATTTTTGGCGCAATTTGCTAGCACTCAGAAGCTGAATAAAAATACACATCCTTTTGCAGATCAGACAAGTATAGAATGAGAGTTTTATTTGTTTATCACCTACTTCATAATGAAGATGTTGAAATTGTCAGATCTGGAGCCTGCAGTAGCTCATGCCGCCCTGGCTCAAGGGCTAAAAGAAGGACGTTTTCGGTTTGGGTTTGCTATGACCGAAGATACTGGCTGAGGTGTGGGAGATGGCCAAAAATCATGTATCGACTGCGGAGTATAACTCCACATTCGCTTCCTCTAGGTTGAATACTTAGCTCATCGTCTGCAGAAGAGGGCTTCCCAAGGCGACATGTGGACTGAGAGATGACTTGCGTCCTTCCTCACGTCTGTGTTATGAAGACACTCGATCGCCCCGGGTCCATAGGGCGAACGATATAACCTTAAACTAAGGAAGCTAGACTCGATATGCTGACTAGCGGTTGACTCGATGCAATGAGTGACCGTTGACCAACATGAATTACCGAGGATGACTCTTTTGAGGGTCTCGATGGCCTAGATAGTGGAGGCCAAAATGAGAGCTTACTTTCGAGACCCGAAGAAGTATGATGTCTATCACTGGGACCATGATCACGACATAGAGGAATGCAGACATCTCTAAAGCTTGGTCGAGGAGCTGATCAAGGTATGAAAATTGAAGGAGTTTGTAGCCCCAGGAGCAACGACCCAGAGGCAAGGGAAATGCTCGAGTGGAGGAAATTTTGGACGAGCCAATCTGAGCCCACATCATCGGCATAACTGGTATAGTTCTCGTCATCTTCAGAGAAGGAGACTCATCTCGCTGAGCTAGCCTGAAAAGGCTTTGATTGAGAGAACTGTGCGCAACCATCATTGCTCCCAGATGTAGCTCTCAGCCACCATCGCTTTCACCCATGAGGATTTGTCCCCTAAGCGGAAACCTTACAACTACACCATTGTCATCTTGACACTGATAAATAACTACTAGATTGGTAGCATTCTTATCAACACTAACAACTCAATGAACATTCTATTCCAATCAGTGTTTGATCATACGAGTCTTGGAAACGACTGGCTAACTACGACAATAGACCCGCTCTACGACCTCTCTGGTGAGAGGAAGAAAGTGTTGGAGACCTTCACACAACCAGTTACTTGGGAGGGGGGGGGGGAAATGACAAACAATTTACAAGCATGGATGATTTTCCAGTGGTTGTATCATTGCTCACTTATACCACCAAATTCGGTCGCCCTCTGCTCAAGTTTTTCCAAGTCGTTACTTCAACTTACCCCATGGCAATGAAGATTTCGAGCGATGGGAAAGTAATCATTGTTCTAGGTAATATGGGGCAGTCCCGCACCTGCTTTATCCGAGCGATCATAAATGTCAAGCAGGAGTTGCTCGAGCTCAGAAACCTGCACGAAAGGGGTCTCGAGACCAGCAAGATCACTGATCCACATTAAAATTACCTATTTTTTATGTATATTTTATGCTCAATTTTTTGGAGATATTATGTTTTAATGAATGCTATTTTTATGTTTTTGGTTGCAAGTGCAAGAAAAAGAGTTTAAGAGGAGAAAAGCACAAATATACATAAAAAAAGATCAAAATGAGCTAAATTGAAGAAAATTACCAAACCAGCCGATTTGGCGCCTAGGCGTGACAGTTGGGCGCTTAGGCGTGATAGTTATTTTCTACAATATTCATTGAATGAGGCCGAATTTTGAAGAGATGTCTGAGGCAACCCTTGGTCATTTTCGAATCTTTATAAATATGAATTAATTCCAAGAAGTTAGGGGTCGGATCTATAGAGTCTCATAGTGTGTGAGTGTGTTAAGTGTGTGAGAAGTTTTCTTTATGAGTCTTTGTTATTTATGGAGTTTGTGAGTCTGGAGTTTGTGAGTCTTGTATCTTGTAAGTACTGTTAGACTCAGAGAAGTCAGAGAACTTCAAAGGAGAGTTTGGGGGAATATTCCAGATAAGTATTTGTATCTTTGTCTTTAAGTCTTGTACTTTGGATGGGAGTTTTATAAATATGTTTTGTTTTGTTATCCTCATGCTTTGTGAGTAATTTTCTTTCTTTCTTCTTGTAATATGAAGTAATTAAGCAAGTGATTTTGATTTTGATTAAAATTTCTTTTATTCTTAAAAATTGGGATGATATTTTACTGATCCTTCATTTACTTTACAAATTAGTTACTTGTGTTGTTAAAATTAGTTGAAGACCTTATAGACCCAAAAGAGCTAAGATTTCTTGACTTGTAAGTATCACATTATACATTGGAAAGAGCAGTCGCGATCGTCCGAAGGGGGCGAAAATATATAGGGAGATAACATTTGAGGGGCATAAAATTGATGTTTCTAGAGTGACAGACTAGGTTTTTTTATCAATTTGGTCTAGAGTTTGGAACTAAGGGTCACTGGTAGGTTCTATAGAGAGGGCACAGTGGATAATCTAAGAGTGAGAGATTAGAGTCTATCCAACACTACTATACATGCCGGCACCAACTTTAAATTAGCCAATGTTCTTTACACAATTAGAAAAAAAGTAAAAAATATGTTTCTATTTATCACAATACCATGTTTAAGTTTCTAAATAATATTGAAATTCTACACTGATTATGAGTTATTGTCAAGGAGAAAATCTCTTTTTATATATTGTCTGAGTTATTACATTCACTTTTACTTACATGTTTTAGAATTTAGTAAACTTAA